TCGTTGACGGGCCTGGCTGTGGCGTGTGAGGAAGGCCCAGGCCGACAGCCGATAGTGGTTCAGCAAACAGATGATCACAACTACCATTACAGTCATCACCACAATTATGATTATTATCTGAACAAACTCCAGTTCAGCTGCAAGACAAGAAAACAGAGAGAAAACCATTAGCATATTTCACACATTCACAGAGCTGCAGAAGTTGCGACATTTTTACATTTTCAATAAAAATGAGTGGTGCTTCCCTGTGCAAAACTCACTGCTATGGTTTTTTTATTGCTTGTTTTATTTGAAAATAATATGCTTGGATGCTTAAAATTATTAATACCACATCTAAGCTCAAAAATGTTCATTGTTTGACCAGATATCATTCATGTTTGCATGGTTTTTTTTTCACTTTTAGGGGTTATGGTTCATTAAAAATGGTAATAGTGATTACTGTTAATGATTTGTGAGCTTTCAGGAACATCGGAGAGGCAAGCTAGACAGTTGCTTATGAATATGTAATGTCATAGCAAACCCATCATGTTCTTCATTCTTACCACCAGGGGGCAGTAACGTGAACACAACTGAGACTAAAATCAAACTTAAAAAGTGACACAACAGAACAGACTAATCCGCAAAAATGTGATAACATGACGTTTCAAATGGCTTTTCTGACCTACATCAAGTCAAGCATGGAGAAAAAGAGAAACGAGAGAGTTTTGGGGTCATTTTTATTATTAATGCGAGCTGGATTTTAACAAGAACTGGCTGCATAAGCAGCACATCTCAATACGTCTGTGCGCTAACTGCTAGGCCACAGCTCTGATTTCATAAAACTGTTTCATAAACTGATTATGTCATGGTTCGATCTCACTTAATCAAAGGAAGGAATTCATTCTTTATGTTAATCTCGTCATACTTCCTCATCTCAGGGGAGCATGTATCGAGAATCCTTTCAAAGGAATGCCTGAATTGTTACAAACAGGGTAGACCTCTCTTTTAACCTCCTGCCGAGCACAATACAGACTTGTTCTCCAGTCAAATGAAAACATGTTGATATGTGCCACACATACGTTCAGAGAAATCTTGTTAGCCCTGCTGCCCACTGAGTAACCCAGACAATTCCATCTGACACATGAAGGTTTCGAGGCAATAGGAAAACTGCTGCAAAGCTGCGACACTGAAGTAAACACCATCAGCTGTCTAACACAATCTACACGAACGTTAAGGGTAATCATTTTCAAACATACGGCTATGACATCAGCAACACACAGCGGACCTTGTTTTACGCAGGAAAGAAGATCTGAATAAAATGTGTGCCTTGATGGTCTTCTCCCGGAAGCTACAAATTCAAATTCATCCTCATGCAATGAAAATTCACTCTATATATTTTCCAAATGCATGTTATATATCTTAGTGCGAACATTTCATCCATGTAGGTTTCATTTTTTTTATTTATGTTTCACTACAATTTCATAACTGGATCTTCTGGTGAAAACGTCAGACTTCTCTCTGGTGATGTATGCTGGAGTTCTCCCATCATTCAGTCCACATAAACCTGCCTCTGCAAGCTAATCTGCCTCCACTTTTGAGTGCAACGTCCACCTCTCACAATCCAATCACCAACCGATGCATTAAACCGAATCCTTGCTCTACATTTTTTCTTTTTTGATAATTCGTAACACTCGGATAAACATCACAATACAGAAGAAAAGAACTGTCACTACTCCCATTTCATTGCGACTTTAAAATACTGGTATTGAATATAAACTGAATCAATCAACCACAATAGCTTGTCGGCTGTTGGATGACTAGTCAACCATCCTGACTCATCTCTACTGATAGCCAGTTTTGTCAAGCCAGTAGGTTCGTTAGGTGAGCCGTTTCAAACTTTAGTTTCTGACCTTTCCATCATGGCCACTTTCCCTCTACAAGAACAAGGCCGTACTCAGGATGCAGTTGGGCCATGTAGTGACACTGTTAAATAAGCTGCGTTGATGCTGGCTCTTTGCCACGGGTCCTCTGGAGAGAGTGCTTGCAAGACAAGGCCCCATCTGTTGAGGGCTTGGAGGAGAGGACCAGAGACCAGACGCATCCCAGGAGTTAACCCAGCACAGGAGATAAAACAGCCCAAATCTGCTGCCCATAACCGGATTACGGCCTGGACCAACTCCAAGAGACAGACACTTGGTGGTAGATGGAGGGGGATGGGGTGGGGTGAACATGTAACTGACACATCTTAACCTCCGAGACACTAGGGTTGTAATCTCAGCCAACCTAGAGTACCAGGCACCACTCAAGCACCTTTCCTCCATCCAGGACTGTCCACTGTTGCTGTAAACCACTGTAACAGTTTTCTCTAAGCCGCCAGGCTAATCTTAGCAGAGTAGCCTCACTCTGTCCTCCTTAGAAATGGCCTGTTCTGACCCAAACAAAGGGTGATGTCATCTAATGCAGTAAAAATGGACTGAAGTCAGGGTGGACTCGAATGAAAAGGCTGTGAGGTACAGGTGTACAGTTTTTTGCTCACTCAATTTTTTTTTTCGAAAGACACCTTTTGAATGTTTTGCCAGGTAAGCAATCGACACCTGTACCTGTATCAACTCTACATTTATCCCTCACAGCTTTAATATGTCAAATTAAATATGCCGCCTAATCTTACTAGTGTCCATTAGTAGGTGTTTATCGGGTGTGTTTGGTCTTGATTACTTTTATCCAAATTAGCTACTACTCAGATACCAATAAAACTGAACTCAATGTGAGTCATCAGCGGTTTCATCACTAATCTAATAGCGCAATTTACATAAACCCGTAATCCCTATATAAAATCATATTCCCCGAGCCTTGTTTAACCTTCCCTGTGCTAATCGGCGGGCTCAAGCATCGAAGTCAGACGTGACAGCATCCCGGAAGATCTGTTAATGTGTTATGATTACAGACACAAACCCCAGACAGAGCAGACACAACAAACCATCGTCAGCCTGTTTGCGACAGGGACGAAATGTAAACAGGCTGCGATAATGTGGCAACAACTGCACAACAGCGAGGGAGAGAGGCCGCTTGGCTAATTCGGGTTAGCCTTTTGCGGACTTTCTGAGATCAGACTGCTCAATCCTCTTACTGCTACGTATGCGCTCCATTGTGTTGTTAGCTAAGAGGAGATATGCGCTAACACCTGTCACAGAGCCTCTAACAGGCTCTTAGGTGAACCGGGTGTGTGTTGTTCAAGCAGTCGTCACATCGTCTCTGAGGTCGGAAAGCCCTGAAGTGTGCTAGAAACTGTGGGCCTGCTCTCTCCTGCGGAGGCCATTCTGTTACTGAGCCGAAGGAAATGGAGGAGGCATTACATAAGCCTATCCGAAACTTTTTCCCCCTCTCCTCTCGCTCTCTTTTTTATACCGTGCTCACAAGCTGCAAAGACAACCAAGTCTGGCCTCCAGATCTATATTTCATGAAGCCATTTCCTGTTTCCTCCTCTCCACAGTTTCATAACAGAAGGAAAACAGCTGTGCTCTCACGATCTGGGAGGAAAGAAACGGAGCGGGTGGAGGAGGAGGGGGAGAGAGAGGCTGGAGAATGGAGACTGCTGCTCACTGCCAGCCATCTGTGCTCCGTCTCCAAATGTCTCCCCGGTACAGTGCTATTCTCATGGAGTTGGGCACAGTACGTGGAGATCATGTCATGAGAGATCCAACAGTTGAACTCACAGCAGTGAGGGAAACTTCTTAGAATGGGCTTTGAATTCATACCAAATCACACATTACACAACAGATTTCCAAGGGAAAGAGCGTGTGTGCAGTGAACGACTAATTTCCAAGTGACTTCATTGGCATGGCAAGACAGCGGGGACGAGAGAAAAACATTGAAAGTTTCCTTGCGTCCTCTCTAGTTTGGGCCATCTCATGTTGCAGGGTGTACAAACAGCACTAAAAGTGAGCATCCCTAGTAGATTGCATGCACAAACCTGCAGCTGAACATACAGCCACCCATGTTGGCGTTCATGACTGCGGGTTGCACTGGTAACTGGAGCAAAACAGAGATGGACATATCTGGTCATAATACCACTGCTTCATCAAGCACAAGCCTTAATCTAGTTAACCATCCATTCACCCACGTCACTGTGCGCACCAGACAACAAAGGCATTATGGGAACTTGAGAGGGGACGCATTGCCCCCTCCTCCTGTGTTATCTGAGTTGTCCCATCAGAATGCCAGACAAAAGGCAAGGGCACAAGCCAGACGCCCATGTGGGACAGAGACTTGCGAGACGGCAGGTTTCACCCAGAAACACAATCATATGGGAAGACTGAACCACGTCTCACTGCTGCAGTAAATGCCCCTTACTGGAACATTCCCTAGCAACATGCTATGAGTCACTTTATGAGAGGCTGTGGAAGGGGCAAAATAACGAAAGAAAGAAAGGCAGAAAAGAAATGTCTGCAGAAGGTCGCTAGACGGAGGTACTGCTATTTCAGTAAATATTTGCAAGATACAACTGTGTGGGACTTATTCTATTCAGAAAAGACAGAAAGAGGCACTTAAGCACTCGTTCTTCTGTTTTGGGGAAACTGAGAGAAAGGGGAGAGTGAGCTTGTGAAGTCTTTCACCAGAGCAGCCCTTTTCTGGTGTGACAGACATTTTCCATTCACACACAAGGTGTATGAAAAAACAGAAGAGTGCGAGAGAGACTGAGAGTATGTGGGAGACAGAGGAAAGGAAAGAGAGAAAGTGAGGACACTTCAATAAACTGAGTCTCATGGAACAAATGAGATCAGAGAACAACTCAAAGAGCCACCCAAAAAAACAAAGACGGGCCAAATCTACGGACTTGAAGAACACCGCATTCAATCACTGAGTAAAAATTAACGCTGCTATCTAACGCATGGCCTTTCGCAGTGGCAGAGATAGCAGGAAGTGCGACGGAGAACTAGGGCGCATTTAATCGTGCCAGTGGCAGGAGCTATTCATCTGTGCCTCGCTGGCAAAGCGGCACTGTCACCTAAGCAGGGCACAAGCCACTGACCTCGCTCTCTAATCTGAGATAAAGCGCTCGTATTAAAGAGACGCCCCATATGGGTGCCAGACACGTCTAGACTCCCCATGCCATAACACCCACTTTTCTTTAATTATTTAACCTCCCGGTAAGACTGTA